TAAATATAAATTTAAATGTATTTGTATTTAAATATAAATACAACTATAAACATATCCAACTTTCCCTGAATACATACAATACACCCCTGTATATAGCAAATCTCAACTGCTTCATTGATATATACAGTACACTCACATAAAACAGTATATACTATAGAGCAAATCTCTGCTGCGTGATTGTTTATACCTTGGTAAAACGCAGAGCTCTATACATATGTTTGGATATATACTGTATCCAACTTCATTTGCATACATACCGTACACTCACGTAAAGAGATATACACAGTACTATACACTACAGCAAATATCAACTGCATGATTTTTTATTTTGTTACAAAATGTAACTATATTATTACCCAGCTCTTTATATAAAGTTGAATATTTAAGTATGACCAACTTTATGCTCATACATTATTATATTTGCACTTGTTGTTTATTATATTACACTTGTAACGCAAAATGCAAACTATATTATCAGCCAGCTCTAATCTTCAAAATGTGACTATAAAGACACATAAAGGTATTAAGAAATTATTACATTAACATCATGATTTTCTGTAAAGCTGCTTTGAAAGAATTTGTATAGTTCAAAGAGCTATAGAAATAAGCTTGACTTGACTTGTCCACACACCTTAAATTGCTGATTGTTATGCGGGTTGATTCTGAAACAGGAGACAAAACAGTCGATCATTAAGTCCAAGTCTGCACTCTGGCTCCCTGCGCCTCTGGAAAATGGTTTAGCTGGGTTAAACAGCAACCCCTGGAGACAAAGAGACAACCGTCAATGAAAAGGACAGCATCAACACGAAACATTCAGATGCATCTGAGCCACTGCGAGTCGCCAGGTTTGGGTTTCTTTAAGTGTTCGTTCCTGGGCGATGCAGATTTGAGTCCTGTCTGCAACATTGTCCACCTCCATTCCCCTTCTTACTCCTTAAGCATTCTCTGCTACTCTCAACAACACAAAGCAGCCAAAAACTAAAATAAAACGGTCCAAATTCTACCTGAGAGCCATATTTGTCCATACCTTCAGATCCATGACGATGGACTGCACTAGCAGGAAGATAACGGAGTGATCCTCCCAGCTGATGTACGTGGACGCTTTGCAGAGTTTAACGCAGGCAATTGCTGCACTTTCGGTCAGCTGTTTGCTTCCACTGTGACCAGTCAGGGCTTTCCGTAGATTCTCCAAAAACAGTTTCTACAAGATAAAAAGCAACACATGAATACATATTACAAACAGTTCAGAGATAATCTAATTACAGTTTACAGTATGAATATTTTACTAATTTTACAAAAAAGTGAGGATTTGTAAACTATTTATAAAGTACAAACTGTGTGATGTAGTTGTCTAGATTTGGCAAGTGTGGGTTTTATCAGTGGCCGATATATATATATATATATATATATACACAGGGCCGGAGTGGGACTCATTTTCAGCCCTGGAGTTTCATGCCTTAGACCGGCCCACTTTGTTTTTGTTTTTTTTACTGGCCTTTTCAGTGCCGCCTTTGCGCTTTCTATTATACAATTTTTATCTATTATTTTTTGCTCGCATATCTCCAACAATGGCTTCTTTTTTTTTTTTGAGCAAGTAATTATCTTTTGACTGTCAGGGGAGTCAAAAGATAATTACGTCATCATTACCAATTAACATAAGAAATTGAAAATAAGGGACAATTGTGATTCTTCATCTTATTTAAAAAAATTGTGTTTATTCTTGTAGAAAAGAAGGGACAGAATAAGGGACGCTCCAAATATTTGTAGGCTAGCCTACTGTACCATAATGTAGGCCTAACTCTGCCTGCAGTTAAAAAGTTCTCAGAAATAATCAATTGTTTTCCTTAACCTATTTATGTACAATTATTCTAAAAAGAATTTTAAATGTCATACAAAAAATGTCATCGGCCTGAGTAAATTGTACCATTATAGAATTGTGACTTCACACGTGTAATTGAGGAGGTGAAAATACTGTGAAATTACAAATGGCATTGAAACGTAAGTCAATCAAGCATTTTTTTTTTAAACAATGGCACTTCTCTGAAATATTACTGCAACTATAGCCTTTGAATGAATGAAAATGCATATTTTTCAATTAAAGAAACCTTAAAAGAGAGTGTGGGCCGCTTCTGGTGCTTGGATTTTTACTTCAATATTGAGGTCCAAGTTTAAGAATAGCCTACGCAAGAAGTATTTATTTATTTTGTAATGCATTTTTTCCCCTCTCTATTTACCAGCATTAACTTACAATGAAAGACGTCTTCCCTCAGGTAGATTAAATGTTTTCCTGCCTTGCTGGTGTGGATGTTGGGCTCATGATCAATAAGTTGTTTGCATTCGCCCAAACTGATTTTGTCAAATAAAAAAGCGGATGGTGAAGGGTGCGGTTAGCGCGAGTCCCGCTCGCTGTGAAGCGGGAGCAGCCGGCAGAGAATTCCGCTTGGTCTTAAAGCCTTCCCCAAACGTCTATGTTCACAAATAAAACAACGATTTGAGCAAAAATAATGATTAGTTATCACAGTCTATTTTAGTTATCAATT